AGGGGCGCTCTCCCGGTCCGCCGGTCCGCGCGCCGCCTCCTAGCCCCGGCCCCAGGTGAGGCCCGCCGTTTGCGGCAGACACCGAGGCCGCACTTGCGCGATGGCCCCTGGCAGCGCTCCCCCGCCCTCCGCGAGGCCCGGGCGGGGAACGTCACGAAATTCCCAATTCCTGGAGAGACGATGGCTCCGGGGTCTACCGGGTGGGCGGCCGCGCTCCGAGTCGAGCCCGGGGAGAGCAGGGGACAGTCGTGAAAGTTAAAGCACGGAGGGGGTCCCCTTAAACGATCCCCTGAGACTCACGGGTCCCAGGGTCCCGGGGGAGTGAGGTACCCCGCCCTGAAAATAGGGGCCTAGAGCCCACCACCAGCCCGCGTGGGAGTTTAAGGACCGGCACCTTCAGGTCTCGATCCCATCCCAAGTCCTGGCCGCTGCTTCTCTCGTCTCAGTGTACTCACCTGTAAAGTGGGGAGGATGCAGTGACGTCACGCAGGCAAACGCCCAGCCCCTCGCCAGGCCATAGCCAGGGCTCGAGATGGGCGCTGTTCGTGTCACCGTTAGTGTCCCCGGAGGTCAGACGGCGGGAGGCTCTCTCCCCCTATGGGAAGTGGAGCCGGTTGATCAGTTCTTCCACCCAAAACGGGGTCGGAGGAAGCAATGGGGCCCCGCACAGTGCCTGGCACAGACGAGACGCGCAAGGAAGATTCCTGGAGAAGGCGCGCGTCCAGCGCAGCCCCGCCCCGCCCGCCGCTCCGCCGGTTCACCAGGAGCCCCGGGGCCCTGGGAGTTTTGCCAGGCCCCCTGAGAGCCCAGCTTGGGCCCCGCAGGGGGAGGACCTAGACGTCTGCAGCACTGAGAGCTGTGGCCATGTGGCTTCCCATTCCAGGTAAATGGCAGCCTCGCCGAAACCTGCAAGGGGAGCCCTGGCCAGGATGGCTTGGGTTCGATTCCTGGTCGGGGCGCATACGAGAGGCGACCAATCTACGTTCCTCCCTTACATCAATGTTTCTCCCTCTCCCTTCCTTTCTAGAATCAATGAAAAACTTATCCTCAGGTGAGGCTTAAAAAAAAAAAAAAAAGTCCAAGGGGAGGCACCTGTCCTGGATGGGCGTTTTTCACACTACAGGTTCATAGGCGGAGAATTCAATATAGTAGGATGGAATCTGCAATTAAAGGGTCATAGGTGAGCCCTGGCCGTGTGCACAGTTGGTTGGGTGTGATCCCATGCACAGAAAGCTTGCTGGTTTGATTCCAGGTCAGGGCACATGCCAGGGGTTGGGGCTTGATCCCGGGTAGGGGCATGCAGGAGGCAGCTGATGGATGTCTTCCTCTCACATCGATGCTTCTTTCAGTTTCTCCATTTCTCTCTCTCTAAAAGTCAATTTTCAATCCTTTTTAAAAAGTCACAGATAAAAAATATATCAGAATGGCCTACACGTGGCAGAAGTGACTCATTACTTCACATATGTTTGGTATATCCATACACTGGTTGCCATATAAAATGTGTTTCTTACAATGGATCGTGGTTTAGAAAATAAGTTAAAAAACACTCTGCCTAGATGACACAGGTCCTGAGGAACCAAGCAGGGACTAGCCCCTTCCCCAGCCAGGCAAAGCCAAGGCCCACTGGGTGAGGCACTTGTTGAGTCTCCCTGCTAGGTAACGGGTGGGCCAAGCTGCTGTTCCCAAAAAAGAAGCCCCCAGTGCTCAAAGTGGAAAACGGGTTTATTGGGCATCTACACTTAGTCCCTGGCTAGGGGGTGGGGGGCAAGTCTGGAGCCTCTACCCCCAACATTAGTATGGAGGCCTTGGGAAGATGGTGCAGGTTCCCAGTGGCCCCCAACTATACTTTTAGGCAGAGAATTTCCACATCCAGTGGTCTCCCCTACAGCCCCCCTGGTCAGGGCTCAGCCTGGAATAGCTGATGTCGCTGAGGCTAGAGGACTCCATTCTGTGAATGTGAGGTCTTGTTCCCATCTTGTCTCCAAAACACCAGACGGAAGATTACTCCTGAGCTCCTCCTTTCCCAGGGCTTGGCCTCCACAACAGGTGGGTCTATGTGTCCAGGGCCCCGAAACTCAGCCTCGGGTGCTCCCTGGGTGTCTGAGGACGACAGGAGTCCAGGCTCCCCCAGATCCCAAGGTGCCAGGGGTGCCCTGCAACCCCAGCTCACGGATGCTTCCACCGGGTGTGCTTCTGCAGCGTGCTCTGCTCCATAAACCGACGCGGGCAATGCGGGCACTGGAACGGGCGCTCCCCAGAGTGAACCCGGCTGTGCTGGGCCAGCTCGCCCGCCTCTCGGAATCGGCGAGGGCAGAGCGGGCAGCCGTGGGGCCGCCCACCACCTGCCCGGTGAATGGAATGGTGCCTTGCCAGGTGGCTGGCACGCTTGAATGCCTTCCCACAGGTGTCACACTCAAAGGGCTTCACCTCCGAGTGGGTGATACTGTGTCGCTGCAGGTAAGACATGTACTCGAAGACCCGGGAGCACACGGGACAGCTGTAGCACTTTTTCTGAGCCGAAGCCCCGTTGGCCCCGGGCTGCCCCTGAGCCCCCCCGTCCGCCAGCACAGTGTAGGGGACGCCCTGGGTGTCAATGAGCAGGTAGTGGTTGGACCTCGGAGGGGACGAGCTCCGGGGAGATCCTGCGGAGGAGGAAGGTCTGGGTTCTGGGGACAGGCCAGTCCGAGGGGGAGGGTCCTCCATGGCCTCAGCGGAGGGCAGCGCTGGGGGCTGGGGACAGGGGGCCGGCAGCACCAGCATCCGGAAGGTGGCTGAGGCCTGGTGGGTGGGAGAGAGGGGCAGGTTACACGGAGAAGTCCGCGCGGCTCCATTCTCACCCTCCGTGGGCCCTGCCAGAACTCCTGCAGCCCCCATCTCGCCTCCGGTCCTCGAGCCCTGGACTCCGCGACCCTCTGTAGGGCTCCTACGGTCTCCCTCCTCGAGACGCCGCCGCTACCCTCGGCTCCACCACCCGCTACAGGCACAACCAGGACCTCGCTGTCCCTCCCCCCCGTGCCCTCCCCAGGCCACTGGTGCCCCTCTACTCTGGCCACCCACGCAACAGACCTCCCGGCCTTCTCCTCTGCCCTTGACCCCACACACTCCACCCAGAAGCATGTCTACCCCTCTTTACACCCCCAAGCCTTCTGCGGGCTGCCGCCTTGGGGCCCCTCCCACCCCGCGCT